TGTGGCTGAATGATTTACATAATTCCTCTCATTGGGCATATTTTGGGGGCTTCATTTATTGAGTACTATGAATAATACTACAAACATTTTTGATCAAGAGATTTTTCTTTTTCTCCTGTTTTAATGTATGTCATTTTGAAAGAAGTGAATTTTATTGGGTCATGGAAATGATATTTTTCATTATATTTTGTTATATTTTTTATTATCTGCCAAATTAATTTCTGGATTTTAGTGATCTGGCAAGCCAAGGACCATTATACCAAAGACTAGAAGGTGATATGGATAGTGGATTGCAAAGAATTTAGAAAAAAACAGTGAATATGGTTCAAAAGTCAGAGACTGAAAGGAAATATGGCTTTGGTGAAACTGCCTGTCCTCTAACATAAAATTCTGACAAGTAAGAAATCTTTTCAGCAAGGAACAAAGAGATACAGTGCTGTACAAAGGAGTGTCTTGTGAGCTGAGATTTTGTAAAAAGAAATGTGCAAAAGATGGGAGGAGGGACAGTTGACTGTGTGCTAGTATTAAAGAGTAGGAAAATCCTGCATGAATATTAAGATGTGCAAAGCCCAGAAAAATTAAGGCTTGGAAAAGATGCCAAAGAGAGCAACAAAAGATTATGTTTTAGCATTATAAGAAAGAAAGAAACCCCTCCAAAGGGACCAGAGACAAAAGCCAAAAGACAATTGATTACTCAAGGAAAATGATTCAAATTTCATTTCATCTCTTTTTTTTTTTCTCTAATTGAGGAGCATGGTCTTCAACCTGGTAAGGATGCAGTGGTCTTAATTGCACAAAAATAAACCCTAGGGAGAATGCGTCATGGAGGTGCTCTGTGCCAAGATGAGTTACAATTCTATAGCACTGTTTGTAGCGTATGTATATTGGGACAACTGTGGAAATTTAAAGAGGCAGACAGCTGGAGTTACACAAGATACGTCTTGACTTTCACAAGGGTGATTCCTGATCATTGTAGTTCCCTTGTAATGGCAGCATCCACTAAAATCTGGAATGGATTCATGAACGATTTGTAAACAGTTCAGAATAAGAATATTTATCAGTGTCTGCTGGGAATGGTGGGTCTATGTTGAAATGATCACCTTCCAGAGCCACAGGGTATCTGATCCTGTCACCAGCCAGCTCTTCTCAGGAGGGCCCTGAAGGCAGATATGGACACAGGGAACAAAGCTGGTCAAGAAACATCTTAGGATGCAGCTGGGACCTCCACCTCCTATCCCATGTTAGAACTCTCAGGGGTTGGGCTAGACCACACAGAGCATCCCTTTTGCTTAAGTGGGAAGAAGAAAAGGCCTAAGACTGCATTTCCCCATAGAAAAAGGGCCCCCAAAACCTGGCTCAGAAGGACATCCCAGTCCTTGTTTGTGTAGACGCCTCTCAGCAGAATTCAGCCTTGGGGTTTGCGGGGGGAAGGTTCAGGAGAGGACCAAAGGAAGGCCAAGGCTCTGAGAGGCTAGGCTGTTAGCCAGAGGGTGCAGCCATCTAGAAACTTGTCAGGAGAACCCATGTACACTAGCACTGTATCAGCCCATTTTTTCTGTGTAATAACTCAAAACCTTAGTGTTCGCTACAGCAAACATTTATTTCACACATGGGGTGTAGGTCAGCTGAGCTTTGGCTTCTCTTGGGGAACTCCAAAGTTTAGGGCTCAGTGTGCTCCCCGGCTCTTCCTTCTAGGATCCAGGCTGAAGCAGCAATGGCTGTCTTGGGCCTGTCCATACCATGGCTGGAAGGCAGAACCTTGAGGGCTAGTGGAACCTTCTTATGCCAAGTCCACGGCCCAGGACACATGACCAAGCCCAAAGTCATCGGGGCTTGGCATAGCCTAGTGGGAGGCACTAGAAAATCACACAGCAAAAGGTGCATATATATATATATAGTTGTACCTTGAAGATACTGTGGGTTCAGCTCCAGACCACCACGATCACGTGAATACTGCAATAAAGCAAGTTACGTGATTTTTTTTTGTGTTTCCCAGTGCATATAAAAGTTATGTTTACATTGTACTGGAATCCATTAAGGATGCTATAGCATTATGTCTAAAAAAAAATGTGCATACTTTAATGAAAAAATACTTTATTACTAAAAAATGCTGCCATCATCTGAGCCTTCAGCAAGTCATAATCTTTTTGCTGGTGGAAGGTCCTACCTTCAATTTGTAAAAAAAACCAAAAATGCAGTATTTGTGAAGCAGTGTAAAGCAAAGCTCAATATAATGAGGTATGCTTGTAATTCTGTTGGCAGGAGGAAATAGAGTTTGGACAGTGATCTGCCCCCATGACTTTTAATTACTTTTGAAGACATACCCCCAAAGGCTGTGGCCCAGACTGTACGTGGGCATGTGACTCGTGTATATCACCATTCATCTTCTGTGTGGGTGTTTGGGGCATGAGTGGTGGAGACTACTGTATTTCCCCATGTATAAGACGCTCCCATGTATAAGATGCACCTTAATTTTGGG